ATCGTCTTTAACAGTTCCCACACTCCGAACTACTCGCCTTTACTACTTCCTTCGCCACTTCCTACGCTGCGGACCTATTTACCTCCCTTCCCATAGCATTTTAAGATTGTGGATACCTTAATCTAATCGTCATAAACAGTTCCCACACTCCGGACTACTCGCCTTTACTGCTTCCATCACGACTTCCTACGTCACGGACCTGTTTCCCTCCCTTCCCATAGCATATTAGGATAACAGATACCTTAATCTAATCGTCATTAACAGTTCCCTCACTCCGGACTACTCGCCTTTACTACTTCCTTCACCACTTCCCACGCCGCGGACCTGTTTCCCTCCCTTTCCATAGAATTTTAGAATTGTAGATACCTTAATCTAATCGTCATAAACAGTTCCCACACTCCGGACTACTCACCTTTACTACTAATTGCCAACAACATTTCCCACACTCCGCACTGCTAGCATTTACTAATTCTTTAACCATTTCCTATGTCTTGGACATCTTTCCATCCCATCTCATAGCATTTCAGTATTTCAATTTCAGATACAGAAATCAAACTGTTACAATTGGTTTCTAGTTCCCAGACTCCGCAGTGCTCTCCTTTACTACTTCCTTCACCTCTTCCTACGTCGCGGACCTGTTTCCCTCCCTTCCCATTGCATTTTAAGATTGCTGCAGATACCTTAATCTAATCCTTATAAACAGATCCCACACTCCGGACTGCTCGCCTTGACTACTTCCTTTACCACTTCCTACGTTTCGGACCTGATTTCCTCCCTTCCCATAGCATTTTAAGATTGCAGATACCTTAATCTAATCGTCTTTAACAGTTCCCACACTCCGAACTACTCGCCTTTACTACTTCCTTCGCCACTTCCTACGCTGCGGACCTATTTACCTCCCTTCCCATAGCATTTTAAGATTGTGGATACCTTAATCTAATCGTCATAAACAGTTCCCACACTCCGGACTACTCGCCTTTACTGCTTCCATCACGACTTCCTACGTCACGGACCTGTTTCCCTCCCTTCCCATAGCATATTAGGATAACAGATACCTTAATCTAATCGTCATTAACAGTTCCCTCACTCCGGACTACTCGCCTTTACTACTTCCTTCACCACTTCCCACGCCGCGGACCTGTTTCCCTCCCTTTCCATAGAATTTTAGAATTGTAGATACCTTAATCTAATCGTCATAAACAGTTCCCACACTCCGGACTACTCACCTTTACTACTTCCTTCACCACTTCCTACGCTGCGGACCTATTTACCTCCCTTCCCATAGCATTTTAAGATTGTGGATACCTTAATCTAATCGTCATCAATAGTTCCCACACTCCGGACCGCTCACCTTTACTGCTTCCATCACGACTTCCTACGTCACGGACCTGTTTCCCTCCCTTCCCATAGCATATTAGGAAAACAGATACCTTAATCTAATCGTCATTAACAGTTCCCACACTCCGGACTACTCGCCTTTACTACTTCCTTCACCACTTCCTACGCCGCGGCCCTGTTTCCCTCCCTTTCCATAGCATTTTAGAATTGTAGATACCTTAATCTTATCGTCATAAACAGTTCCCACACTCCGGACTACTCACCTTTACTACTTCCTTCACCACTTCCTTCGTCGCGGACCATGTTTCCCTCCCTTCCCATAGCATTTTAGGATTGTAGATGCCTTAATCTAATCGTCATAAACAGTTCCCACACTCCGGACTACTCACCTTTACTACTTCCATCACCACTTCCTTCGTCGCGGACCATGTTTCCCTCCCTTCCCATAGCATTTTAGGATTGTAGATACCTTAATCTAATCGTCATAAACAGTTACCACACTCCGGACTAATATTTACCACAAAACTAATAGCAATAACAACAATTAAAAGAAATAATCTGCTTGAAGTAATTCAGTAAGGCCGCCAGAAATTATGCGAATCGGTGTATTGTTAATCAACGCTTAATGGTATTTATCGGACTCCTTTTCTTTTGTACTGTCTTTTGTAAATAGGCCATATGTGCATGTGCAAGCTGAGGTGTCCGTGGGTACAGAATGTCGAGTCGCATACGCTACGATTCTTTGTTTACATCTACGTTGTTATCTCGTAACCATCATGGCAACTCATAAGACTCATGTTAAACATTGCAAATTTTATGTCAGTCTTAAATTGTACAGGTATCATCAAATTGTAATTTGTTTGTTTCGAAACATCAAAAATATTTGTTGAAATACCCCTGGTAAGTTTGGATTCAATATGTTCAGCCGTTATTGAGTTAATTGATTACATAGTTTGCATAAGGTCCGATCTCAAAGAGCTTCGCTCGCTTCGCTCGCTCCGCTCAACTAGAAGACTAGAGTATACAAGAAGTAGAAGACCAATCCTGCTTTATGGAGCAGAGACATGGATTATAGACAAACAAACAGAAAATAAGTTGATTACATTTGAAAACAGAGTTTTGAGAAAAATATTTGGACCTGTTAGAGAGGGAGAAGGGTGGAGAATAGGCACAACCAAGAAATAAGGGACATGTACCATTCCCCAGACATAGTAGGAGAAGCAAAGAGCAGAAGACTAAGGTGGGCTGGCCATGTATGGAGGAGGGAATATGACAGACTAATAAAAGAAGTTTGGAGACAAAACCCAACCAGAGGAAGACCCAAGAATCGATGGAAGTACCAGGTGGAGAAAGATTTGCAAAGATTGAGTGCAATGAAAGAAGATTCAGAGAACAGGGAGAGATGGAGACTTGTTGGCGAGGCCAAATACCACCTAGGGTATGCATGGCTATGGGAATAAGAGTAAGTATATCCAAGTTCAGTTCGTCGGTTCGTTCGCTAGACTGTGGTGAAATAGTAGGCTTGTAGTGATAGTGTTATTAGAAGTTAAGCCCAGTCTTAAGTTGTGATTCAGACTAAATCATTCAGGGTTTCTATGAAAGGGCTGAAAACCCCGACCACTCAAAATGTGTTCGCAATCAGGAATCCTCCCCACCCCACGGACGACCCCCTCCACCTCGTAGACCCAAACATGTTCGCAGTCTGGACTGTTCGCAATCAGGACTGTTACTGTTCGCTATCAGGAGGACACCGTCGTTCGAGTTGACTGAAAGTGGGCATTATTGTGAGTGGATTAGTTGAAGTAAGCGTTATGTGAGTAGGTGAACTGAAAGTGAGCGTTATTGTGCGTAGGTGAACTGAATGTAAGCGTTATTTGTGTGCAGTTCCGCTGAAAGTAGTCGTTCGGGTTGACTGGAAGTGGGCGTTATTGTGAGTGGTTTAGCTGAAGTGAGCGTTCTTATGAGTAGGTGAACTGAAGGCGAGCGCTATTGTGAGTAGGTTAACTGAAGGTAAGCGTTATTGTGAGTGGGTGAACTGAAGGTAAGCGTTATTGTGAGTTGGTGAACTGAAGGCGAGCGTTATTGTGAGTAGGTGAACTGAAGGTAAGCGTTATTGTGAGTAGGTGAACTGAACTGAAAGTAAGCGTTATTATGAGTAGGTGAACTGAAGGTGAGCGTTATTGTGAGTTGGTGAACTGAAGGTGAGCGTTATTGTGAGTAGGTGAACTGAAGGTAAGCGTACTTGGTGAACTGAAGGTGAGCGTTATTGTGAGTAGGTGAACTGAAATTGAACGTTACTGAGAGTGGATGGATGGAGTGGATGAATGGACGTTAGCGCCATTGTGAGATGGTGGACTGAACGTGAGCGTTAGTGTGAGTGGGTGAACTGAAAGTGAGCTTTATTGTGAGTAGGTGGACTGAAAGTGAGCGTTTTCAAGAGTGGGTGAAGTGAAAGGGATCTTGACTGTGATTGTGAGTAGGTGCGCTGAAAGTGATGTGAACTGAATGAAAGTGGGCGTTATCGCAAGCAGGTGCGCTGAAAGAAAGTGAGCGTAAAGCAGGAAAACTTGTAGTCCGACCTCCGACGCCCCCCGATCCAATCAGTTCCGTTCAGTCTCCGACGACTTCCGTCAACATTGCTCTGCTCTGAGGCACTGTTGTTGGACGTCGGATCCAATGTTTCTCCAGTCTGCGTGCACGATATAAGTGTAGACGAACTTTTGATTTTATTGTTTGATTTATTTTACTTACCACAATAATAGATTGTTGGCAATCCCAACACTACTACTACTGTTATTCTTTTCATTGTTTATCGTTGTTAATGCTAGCACAAAACACAAACATTCACTGTTGTAGCTTTCAATCTTTATCTTTGTAAATTGGTGTATTGCCCTTGATAAATAAATAAATAAATAAATCCCATGCAAATTGGCCTATTGGTTAGCCCATGAAAATTATTTTACTGCTAGACTTTTTGAGGAAAGAGTAGGAAAATAACAATGTTTACATGGTTTTAATTAATCTTGGCAGCTTTTTGTTTACAATAAATGTTTGACTGCTTAAACTTTGTTTGGGTTAGGCCTGAAAATATTGATGCTATCAAACAAAGGTGATCAAGGATGATCAGGAATACCGATTTAAAAAAAACTACCACAACCTCTGACCATCGATGCCTCTGACGGGGTTTATCCAGAGATAAAAAGATGGATGTTGTAGATTAAACACAATTTTATCATATACCTAGGATACTGCAAGTAGACTTACTATCCTAAGTTGTTTGGCGTGTGTTCGTGTATGGTTACGTTTGGATGCACTGATGTAAGCAAAATTAATATATCACATTTATTTAAACTAAATATCTAACCAATGGTTATCTAATATTTGTTAGTTATCCATATAGCAAATGGCTAACCAATAACTAATAATAATTTGTTGGTAACCAATAATAGCCAGTTTTCCAGTTATGAATTATTCAAAGTAGGTTACTATACAGACTACGACTACGTTATGCACTGGTCTAAATGAACAAATCATGGACATACTACCTACTACTTACAATGTAACCTAAGTTAGTTCTCGATCACGAGATGAATCATAAAGAAATGTAATGCATTACGTTTAAATTATGTAACCTGATCATAGCAAAGTACAAACAAACACACCTTTAGAAGAGCACGTAACTATATTCTGTAAAACCACAAACTAAAACCGGCGTCCGGGCTCCGGCACGACCAGCACTGGGCAAAAACTAAAAACTAAAAAATTGGCAACACTGCATCGTGTCATTGGGTTGGGAGGGGGAGGGGCATTGGTCTACCATCAGCTGTTTCTCAAATGCCCACTGTCGCACTGTCCAGTTCAGCGAATGAATGCCCTCGTCCCACAAGGCATTTATCCATGGTTGAGGGGAATTTATATTTGTATTTATATTTTATTATTTTACTTACCGAATTACTATATAACAAATAACAATAAAATAACAAAACCCAATTTACTTTATCGCTGAATAATTATTGACGTTGACAAAAGGCTGATTCGCGTTTAAAAATAATGTTATAATATAAACTTATTTAAATGTGTACACCACACCTAATATTTACTTTCAAAACTCTACTTATATTTGACGTCATCCAAAAGTATTTAACAACATGCCTTAGTGCAGCATTGCAATCCTTTATTGATGTTTCATAAGTAAAGATAAGTTTTATCCTAACTAGTGTACACGTTGCTCGAAATCTTTCAATTGCAAAGAAGTAAAGTAAAGTAGTTATTCAAAAACAAATAAGTCATCATAATCTCCGATGAGTTTGAAATACCCAACTCATAGAATACATGCCTAACAGTTCCATATAATCAACATTTCTTGTAAATACTTTATCATTTTTCAAAAGCTGATCTGGGGTTTTGAATGTTTCCCACTTATAGCCGCATTAGGTCGTCCGTGTTGATGCCCCTATACCAGGTCGTGTTGACTTTGTCAATGACAATGTAGTCTGCATGGTACGCCCATTGTCTCCAGTACGTTTACAATTTTCATGCAATTTTTTATAGCGATAACGTTTTGTTTACATGACTAAGACTTACCTGATTTTCTGCATAACCTCTCTGTCGCAATTTTATTTGCATCGATTGGCATTCATTTGGCTAGTTACTGTTATATCGTTAATTATATTTACCTGAAAAAATGCAGAATTGAAAGGCCTAATGTCGCTTAGATGGTTTTTTGTTTCCCTTAAATGTGAGTAATGCAAATCCTTCAATGCCAAGGTTTCTTGGTTGTAGCCAGATTCTTTTAAAATCACTTGACTTTTATGAAAACATATATTTATCCTTGCCATACCAGTTTAATTCAGTAGAAGGGTTTCCTTTGCCAATCTACATAAAGTTAAGTCAATGTTTCCTACAAAATAATAGCACTTATGCTAACATCCTTGTTCATTGTTTGTGGGAATCTTCATATTGTAGCTGTTTAAGTGTTATTCTTTAGTTGATAACAATAGTAAATCTTTTTTAAATCTCTATTTCTTCTACTTGGTGGCGTTCTATGACTTTGCTATGTTTCCATGGTTAACAAATTGGTTCTTTCAATGATTTCTCCAGAAATACAGTACTATTATCAATTCATTTTTCTTATTTGGTAAACTATATCAAATGTTCTATGCTTTCTCGATTTTTTACATTGTAATATGTACGAATGTAATTTAAAATAGTAAATATTTAATTTCAACAAAATCAGTAAATGTACCCAATGCATTTTATTGAATTGAAAAATAAATAACCGCAATTAAATTATACAGCTGATCAAAAAGTAAACAATTATGTTCTTCATAAGGATAACATGGGAAATTTGACAGCCACTGGGGCAGAGCCCAAGGGACTTTTTCCAAAATAAAAGGTCAGTTTGCAAATCATGATTCAGTATGATATGAGTAGTGCTAATATAAGTATGAAGCTGCGAATAAACGTTACTCTTACTTAAAAACGTTAGGCCTCGGGTACGATACGGGTGGCGAGCGGTGAGCGGCAAGCGGCGAGCGGCAACCTAAGCGGCACGTAAGCGACGGGGGTGTCTACGATACAAGCGGCACATTTATAACGCTCATCAAATTTCCCCAGTTTTATGAGTCAGTTTATTTGAAAATGGTAAACTATGCTTACCTGCACTATGCTTACCTGCAAGACGTATTGCATCTATTGTTGCTTTCTGACAATTGTTTGCCTTTAAAGAAAAACTTAGTTTTTAGAAAAACCTTAACCCTAACTTGGTCCCATACTTTTCTGGCGACCGAAGTGTTTTAAAACTTCCGTGCTGGTCATTCTACTAACATTCCCTGGATGCACTTCACGTATCGACCCGTATCGCATGTTTGCTGCTGTTTCCCTGTATTTTTTGGCCAAACTGAAGCGACTCACCTGAGCGGCGAGCGGCGTTTTCGCGAAAATCGGTTTTGACTTGGAACCACGAGCGGCACTGAGCGGTGTCGCTTACCGCCGCCCGCCGCTCAGACGTATCATGGCCACCCTCAACAAATTTACACGCAACTAAATGAGACCCAATGTCAGATCGGCGCCGCTCATGCCGCTCGCCACTCACCGATCGCCACTCGTATCGTACCCGGGGCCTTACTGTACTTGCCTCAGGGTAGACTGTGCATCAACAGATCAGTTTGTTCTTGTTGACATTAATTATTGTAATAGAAAATAGATATGCTTTACCCAAATCATTCTAGTGTCCCAGAGGCTCATAATACCAAATAGCTAGTAAGCAATAACGCCAAGAAAACAAAATAATTTTAAGACACAAAATTTCATAATTTTACCAGCATTTTAGTGTTAGCAAAACGGGAGTGCCGATGGAGACCTGTGGGGGTGCGTGCGTTTGAAGGGACTTGACCTGGTATATAGTGTATTGCATTTAAACACCAAGAAACAAATCTTCATTCATAAACAAATACAATCACTGTAAAACGCAAAACTTAACATACCATTAATTTACTTCACCTGTTTAATCTTACTTTAATATGTTTTGTTTGCAAACAAATCTAACTAAAATTCTTTCAATATCCCTTACATGGGTACCTTTAAGACTGCCCAGGGCGAAGCCCTGAAAGTTACCACGAAATTGATGGTTTATAAACCTTCTCCAAGAAATTCTACACGTATATGTAGGCCTACCAAGTTTCGTGGCCATCGTACCCAGCGGTGCATATCACTTATTACCGGTGCAGCGGAGTATATCACTGCCAAATGTAGGCTACCTACAAATATACAAACCAACTTCCTCCTTTATACTTATAGAAGATAACATTCTTCTTCCTACAGTTTCCTGACAAAGCAGGATTCCTTGCACTGAATTGTAACGGGGCGCCCTTACTGCGCCAGAAGGTCTAGGTAGAAGGCCCTCACTGCGCCAGCACTTAAATCTACCCCCTAAAATCAGAACTGTACTGCGCCAGAGCAGTGTTTTCTTTGAAATAATAGTCCTGAGAGAAACTGTCGTAATAATGAGTCTGAGAGTTCATTCAGTGTGATACCGTATACCTAAATTCAGTGTGTTAATCAAATCAAACTTATTTATCCACTTATTTATAAACACTCTGTGACTTATACAATCATAATACCTACTGTATTTTATGTTAAACCTTATTACTGTACTACAATACTCAATCTACTTTATGAAATAAAAACTTGAGTAACAATGTTGATCCAAATATTAATATCTGCTTCTAGTTGTTGGTATAATAAAATATAATTAAATAAAATTTAAATTATGATTTTTGAAGTGAATAATTCTGTCACAATCATAATACAAATAATAATATATCGAAATTAGTTTGTATTTTCTATAAGTATACTATATATAGGCTAACATAAATGGGGAGGCGAATGATATTCTAGAATACATTTAAACATTAAAAAAGTTTGTTAGTTCCCAATACAAAATTTTCCAAAAAGATTTATAATAAAACAAAATACAAGTTTACAACATAAATCAACTAAAAGTAAAAACAAATCAACTGATAGAGAAAAAAATGATTGTTGACGAAAGTATGAACTGAGTAATTACATATTTGACATGTGTAATTTACAGGTGTATAGGCACTGTTAATTGCATTTTTTCCATCCTAACTATACAGATGGAAAAGGACTTCCTTTTGAGTAGTATGATGTAAATTTAATTCGACAGTAGTCTAGCGAAAAAACAATGTTTTTTTCCTAAATGGGTGCGAAATCGATTGCCACACACTTCAAGAAACACAGTAAGTCCAAGTCACCGGCTCTTAATTGGTTAATTTTTGTTTCGACAAACTGTTGTCGAATAAGCGTTGCTTTCTTTCTAGCACGTTTTTCATTTTGTTTAAAGCACCATTTATTGCTAAATATGTATCTAGTTGTGACTCCTTAATGGCACTGAGAAACGAAAAGATATTCGGATACGGCGAAGAGCAAGATTTGTTAAATTTACTATGCAAGCTCTCACACGCGTTTATTGTTCTCCACAGTTCTGACGTGTCGAGAGCCCAGATATAGGGAGGAAAATTTGCACTACTCTCACAAATATAGTTTTCAACCATGTAGTCACTGAACTTTGTTATCTTGTCATTTGTTGGTTGTCGCCCCCCTCGCCTACCTGGACTAGTGCTGGCGCAGTAAGGGCGTTTGCTAGAGAGGGATTATTTAGTCCTGGCGCAGTAAGGGTCTACCCGAATGTAACACGCGAAGTAGCGAATTGCTGCATTTACTTACTTTTGCCACCCTTTTTTTGTCACACTTTTTTGCCACACTCAGTATTCCAATCAAACAACACCAAAAAATGTACTTCTATCATGCACGTAATCCATGTACGCTTGAAAATAAGTTGGCAACACTTAAAGATACTACGACTCAGCGGGAACCGGAGTTTTGCCAACGGGTGTCAGGTAGATGGGGGGGATGCCTTCGGCCACCTCTTGGTGCGGAGATTTGCCAACGGTGGTGGTGGGAGAAAGAGTGTGAGGGAGGGAGGGAGAGCGATTGTCAGGGTTGTCTACGCTTGGCAGTTATGCGCTTGTCGCAGTGGGTTAGGTTAGGTTAGGTTAGGTTAGGTTAGGTTAGGTTAGGTTAGGTTAGGTTAGGTTAGGTTAGGTTAGGTTAGGTTAGGTTAGGTTAGGTTAGGTAAAAAATTCAATACATTTCCTTTCACAGTCAGAGGTGCATAACTGCATTACTTTGAACACAGTCAGCATCCTGCC